TCAGCAGACATATGCAGAAACCATGCAGGCGTGTATTATCGTGTATTAAAGTATTATATATATAATATGATTAATATGGATTAATTATTATGATATTGCTTTACTACTATAATTATATATGCACATATATTACTCAGAAAAATTATACTGTAGGATGATTCCCCAGCTAGTCCCCTCCCCGATTGGGAGTCACCAGGGATGGCTGGCTGTAGCCTGTGAATGGTCTGGCACTGACGGGGAGAGACTGGGCGAAGCATGTAGTGAAGCCTCAAGCATCTTACATGAAGAACATCCTCTGGTAAACGTACAAAAAACTATGGAAAACCACCATGCTATTAATGGGTAAATCAACTATTTCGACTTGGCCATTTTTCATCGCTATTTTGACATACCAGAGGGTAAATGATAGAAGGATCACCTATTTTGTCCGCTGAGAACTTCAACTATTTGACCGACTTCTCAGTAGCGAAAAGGCATGGTATGGCATGATTAAGATGGTATGGCGATCGCTGAGGCCCTGGTGAAAAGCTTTGGGCTGCTGATTCTGCTGGGTCTTCTGGCACTGCTTACGGTGCACTTTGTGGGGGTGACCCAGCAGATTCGTCAGTGCAAGAAGAAGATCGAAGCAAGTTATCCAATATATATATATATATGTGACTTGACAAACTAACTAGCTCCCTGGCCTAGATTCTCCTGATTTCTGTTGCGCTGGAAGATGTTGGAAGCATCCAAAAGCATCCTGTTTCAGGTGCGAAAGAACATCTTAAAACTTTTTTTCAGAAAGAATAGGGGGGGTTGCAATTCTCGTGGATCTTCACCAGCACGCCTTGCCGGCCTTGCTGGCCTTGCCGGCCTTGCCCCAGACTCACAGCGTCTATCTACCACAAAGGACCACTGGGCCGGGACTGGGCCGGGACCATGTCATCCCTTTGGTGATGGCCCGTTGGGGATGACTTTTGGTATCATGTAATATGATGTATATGTACCCGGCCTGGTAAACATACCAAAAACTATGGACAGATCCACCATTTTAAATGGGAAAACTCACTATTTCGACTGGGCCATTTTCAATAGCTATTTTGACATAACCAGAGGGTAATATGTAAGGATATGACTGATAATGGGGTATACCGGTATACCCTCCAAATGGCAATGTTAATGGACAAATGATGAACTAATGTGATTCACTTTATCATCACATTTTGGGGTAGCTTATTTTCAGACATGCCTATGTCAAAATTTCGTTGCTGGCTCCAAAATCGCGGTCTGTCGCTTCAATGCTCCAAAGACCGCGAAGGTGCTTGGACCCCCCAAAACCTTGCCAAACCGTTACATCTTCTAACAATATCCCGATTAAACCCCACATACAGTCTCAGAAGATGTTTGGAGCAGTAGGGCTCATGTTCTTCCATATTTTTGCACGTTTCC